AATAGACATTTACAGAACTCTCCACCCCAAATCAACAGAATATACATTCTACTCAGCACCACATCACACTTATTCCAAAATTGACCACATAATTGAAGTAAAGCACTCCTCAGCAAATGTACAAGAACAGAAATTATAACAAACTGTCTCTCAGACCACAGTGCAATCAAACTAGAACTCAGGACTAAGAAACTCAATCAAAACCACTCAACTACATGGAAACTGAATAACCTGCTCCTGAATGACTACTGGGTACACAATGAAATGAAGGCAGAAATAAAGACGTTCTTTGAAACCAATGAGAACAAAGATACAACATACCAGAATCTCTGGGACACATTTAAAGCAGTGTGTAGAGGGAAATTTACCGCACTAAATGCCCACAAGAGAAAGCTGGAAAGATCTAAAATTGACACCCTAACATCACAATTAAAAGAACTAGAGAAGCAAGAGTAAACACATTCAAAAGCTAGCAGAAGGCAAGAAATAACTAAGAACAGAGCAGAACTGAAGGAGATAGAGACACAAAAAAACCCTCCAAAAAATCAGTGAATCCAGGAGTTGGTTTTTTGAAAAGATCAACAAAATTGATAGACCGCTAGCAAGACTAATAAAGAAGAAAAGAGAGTAGAATCAAATAGACGCAATAAAAAATGATAAAGGGGATATCACCACTGACCCCACAGAAATACAAACTACCATCAGAGAATACTATAAACACCTCTATGCAAATAAACTAGAAAATCTGGAAGAAATGGATAATTTCCTGGACACATACAACCTCCCAAGACTAAACCAGAAAGAAATTGAATTCCTGAATAGACCAATAGCAGGCTCTGAAATTGAGGCAATAATTAATAGCCTACCAACCAAAAGAAGTCCAGGACCAGATGAATTCACAGCTGAATTCTACCAGAGGTACAAGGAGGAGCTGGTACCATTCCTTCTGAAACTATTCCAATCAATAGAATAAGAGGGAATCCTTCCTAACTCATTTTATGAGGCCAACATCATCCTGATACCAAAGCCTGACAGAGACACCACAAAAAAAGAGAATTTTAGACCAATATCCCTGATGAACATCGATGCAAAAATCCTCAATAAAATACTGGCAAACCGGATCCAGCAGCACATCAAAAAGCTTATCCACCATGATCAAGTGGGCTTCATCCCAGGGATGCAAGGCTGGTTCAACATACACAAATCAATACACGTAATCCAGCATATAAACAGAACCAAAGACAAAAACCACATGATTATCTCAATAGATGCAGAAAAGGCCTTTGACAAAATTCAACAGCCCTTCATGCTAAAAACGCTCAATAAATTCGGTATTGATGGAACATATCTCAAAATCATAAGAGCTATTTATGACAAACCCACAGCCAATATCATACTCAATGGGCAAAAATTGGAAACATTCCCTTTGAAAACTGGCACAAGACAGGGATGCCCTCTCTCACCACTCCTATAAACATAGTGTTGGAAGTTCTGGCTAGGGCAATCAGGCAAAAGAAAGATATCAAGGGTATTCAGTTAGGAAAAGAAGAAGTCAAATTGTCCCTCTTTGCAGATGACATGATTGTATATTTAGAAAACCCCATTGTCTCAGCCCAAAATCTCCTTAAGCTGATAAGAAACTTCAGCAAAGTCTCAGGATACAAAATTAATGTGCAAAAATCACAAGCATTCTTACACACCAGTAACAGACAAACAGAGAGCCAAATCATGAATGAACTTCCATTCACAATTGCTTCAAAGAAAATAAAATACCTAGGAATCCAACTTACAAGGGATGTAAAGGACCTCTTCAAGGAGAACTACAAACCACTGCTCAGTGAAATAAAAGAGGACACAAACAAATGGAAGAACATACCATGCTCATGGATAGGAAGAATCAATATCATGAAAATGGCCATACTGCCCAAGGTTATTTATAGATTCAATGCCATCCTCATCAAGCTACCAATGAGTTTCTTCAGAGATTTGGAAAAAACTGCTTTATAGTTCATATGGAACCAAAAAAGAGCCCACATTGCCAAGACAATCCTAAGTCAAAAGAACAAAGCTGGAGGCATCACACTACCTGACTCAAACTATACTACAAGGCTACAGTAACCAAAACAGCATGGTACTGGTACCAAAACAGAGATATAGACCAATGGAACAGAACAGAGTCCTCTGAAATAATACCACACATCTACAGCCATCTGATCTTTGACAAAACTGAGAAAAACAAGAAATGGGGAAAGGATTCCCTATTTCATAAATGATGCTGGGAAAATTGGCTAGCCATAAGTAGAAAGCTGAAACTGGATCCTTTCCTTACTCCTTATACGAAAATTAATTCAAGATGGATTAGAGACTTAAATGTTAGACCTAATACCATAAAACCCTAGAAGAAAACCTAGGTAATACCATTCAGGACATACGCACGGGCAAGGACTTCATGTCTAAAACACCAAAAGCAACGGCAACAAAAGCCAAAATTGACAAATGGGATCTAATTAAACTAAAGAGCTTCTGCACAGCCAAAGAAACTACCATCAGAGTGAACAGGCAACCTACAGAATGGGAGAAAATTTTTGCAATCTACTCATCTGACAAAGGGCTAATATCCAGAACCTATAAAGAACTCAAACAAATTTACAAGAAAAAAACAAACAACCCCATCAAAAAGTGGGCAAAGGATATGAACAGACATTTCTCAAAAGAAGACATTCATACAGCCAACAGACACATGAAAAAATGTTCATCATCACTGGCCATCAGAGAAATGCAAATCAAAACCACAATGAGATACCATCTCACGCCAGTTAGAATGGCAATCATGAAAAAGTCAGGAAACAACAGGTGCTGGAGAGGATGTGGAGAAATAGGAACACTTTTACATTGTTGGTGGGATCGTAAACTAGTTCAACCATTATGGAAAACAGTATAGCCATTCCTCAAGGATCTAGAACTAGATGTACCATATGACCCAGCCATCCCATTTCTGGGTATATACCCAAAGGATTATAAATTATGCTGCTATAAAGACACATGCACACGTATGTTTATTGCGGCACTATTCACAATAGCAAGGACTTGGAATCAACCCAAATGTCCATCAGTGACAGACTGGATTAAGAAAATGTGGCACATATACACCATGGAATACTATGCAGCCATAAAAAAGGATGAGTTTGTGTCCTTTGTAGGGACATGGATGCAGCTGGAAACCATCATTCTCAGCAAACTATCGCAAGAACAGAAAACCAAACACCACATGTTCTCACTCATAGGTGGGAAATGAACAATGAGATCACTTGGACTCGGGAAGGGGAACATCACACACCGGGGCCTATCATGGGGAGGGGGGAGGCGGGTGGGATTGCATTGGGAGTTATACCTGATGTAAATGATGAGTTGATGGGTGCTGACGAGTTGATGGGTTCAGCACACCAACATGGCACAAGCATACATATGTAACAAACCTGCACGTTATGCACATGTACCCTAGAACTTGAAGTATAATAATAATAATAATAATAAAAGTGAACTCAGTATGTTGAAGAGATAACTGAACTATGTTCATTGCAGCATTATTCACAATAGCCAAGATATGTAATCAACCTACGTGTCCACTGACTGATGAATAAATAAAGTATGGTATATATACACAATGGAATACTATCCAGTCGTTAAAAAGTAGACAGTTCTGTCATTTATAAAAACATGCATGGACATTGAGGCATTATGCTAAATGAAATAAGCATTGGACAGAAAGATAAATACTGCATAATCTCACTTGTATGTGGAATCTATAGAAGCCGAACTTGTAGAACTAGATAGTAGAATGGTGTAAGGCTTGGGATGGAGTGTAAGGAAGATGGGGAAAAGAGGAGATGTCAGTCAAAGAGTGCAAAGTTTCAGTTAGACAGGAGGAATGAGTTCTAGTGATCTACTGCACAGCATTGTGACTATGTTAAAAAAAAAATGTATCTTTCAAAAAGGCTAATAGAGTAAATTTTAATTATTCTTACCACCAAAAATCGATAAGGATGTGAGGTGATGGATATGTTAATAAGCTTGACTTACTCATTCCATATATCCTAACATATCATTGTACCTCATAAATATATAAAATTATTATTTGTCAATTTAAAAACTTTCCTACACTGAACTCATGCCGAAACTATGACTCTTCTTTTTCTCATCTTAAATTAACATATGTACAGGAGAAAACTAATATTTGTCAGTCAAGATTTATTTTTGGCTGGGTGCAGTGGCTCACACCTGTAATCCCAGAACTTTGGGAGGCTGAGATAGGCAGGTCACTTGAAGTCAGAAGTTGGAGACAAGAGACCAGGCTAGGCAACATGGCAAGACCCTGTCTCTACTAAAAAAATAAAAAAAAGAAAGAAAGAAAAAAAACACCTACAAAAATAGCCAGCATGGTGGTGTATGCCTGTGGTCCCACCTACTTGGGAGGCTGAGCTGGGAGGACCACTTGAGCCCCAGGGATGGAGGTTGCAGTAAGCCGAGATCACAGCACTGCAGCACTGCATTCCAGCCTTGGTGATAGAGTGAGACCAAAAAAAAATTTTTTTAAGATTCATTTTTGTTATACATTATAAGTAAGGCATAAAGAAATACAGTATCAGTGTATTTTCTCCAACAGTATATTGTACTTCACTGCTTCTGTTTAACAACTTGGAATATAAAGGCTGTTTGCAAGGCAGGAATACATTTCTTGTCAATAAAAACTGCATTTAATAAAAAAAAAAACTATGCAGTGCATGCATGCATATCTAGCAAAACAGAAAAAGAGAGAAACAATGTATTGATGAAATGAATTAATACTAAACATGTAAATTGCCCTTGCCTTTGGAACTGAGATTATAAATTTGTTTCATAGTCAACTGAGGTGTGATTAACATTTAGGTACAAGGGTTATTTAACATTTAAGCACAAAGATTTCTCCATGAGTTACTTTGGATTTATAGGATCACTCTTACCAGCATTTCTTTTGAAGCTGTTTCTTATGGAAGATGAGATGTTCAAGCACATTATTCAACCGAGGACTGTTATTCTGAACACAAGACCAAGCAGCAACACAGTGCCAGAGCAGGTGGTTAATTTCATATCCTCCCTGATTAAATTGCAAATGTTTCAGGAATTAAAATATAAAAATATATGTGAGAAAGAATACTCTGACTTGAACAAACATGAAAATAAATTTTAAATATACAAATGAAAATTCATATTCTCTTACACTTTATATTTCACCAAGTGGAGCAATTTACATAAGCACATTTTTGAAGTACATATAGTTAACCTGAACCTAACGTATGTATTTTTCACATGGGTCCCTTGTGTTCAATGATGTCAGCTCTACAATATGGCAAAAATTCTGGATCCCATAAGAGATGGCTATTAGACACAATTGTGGTTTGTAGATTCTATGTGACTTAGTTCTCCCTGACACTTGAGAAAGAAGGAATGGGGAAAGTTTGAACAAAACACTAACAGCAAATCACGTTTTAAAATGTGGATTTCTACTTTAAGGACCAAAATATATGCCTAGCAAGACATCGTCAATGTCTGTTAAGTAACTATTCTTAAAGCCTAAAAATTCAGATAACAAATAAGCTGTTGTTTAGCTTTTTTCTTAGAGTGCTTCCCAATGGTTTTATACATTTAATTGGTCTACTAAAGTAATTGGTAGAAAATGATGACATAGCATTCTCTAAATTTTTGCCAACAGTGAAGATTCAAATACACATCCTGTGATAGGTAATCCAATTGTTAACTTAGTTGATACTTTGTGATTTTTATGTTAAAATGAAACAGAATCTAAAGGGCTTCATAATTCTTATTTATTATATAAAACAACATCAGGACTACAATTTAATTTTATGTTGAGTACTTTTCAGATAGAAGGCAAGAAGTTCATACATAAATTTTAAGCTATTTTAAGTTTCTAATAAAGAATTTAGTTAAGTCCCATAGTTGTGTATTTATCTACTTTATGTCAGGAATTCTGTTAGATTCTGGAGATAAAGGCATGAGGAAGACAACATCTGTACAAAGCTACTGACTCTGGGGAACAATAATTCAGAAAAGCAAATGAAAACAATTCAGTGTTTAGAGTGTTAGAATATACCAGACAAACGCACTATTCTAAAATAATGTAAAGCATTAGTCTGAGACATACTGACTTCAGTAAATCCACATATAACTCAATTTCTGCTTTATGGGTAGGGTCTACCCCAAAACTGGAACCCATATAAATGAAATTCTTTTCTCAAATTGCTCTAGTTATCTCAGCCTGGATGCCTGACAATCCTCAGATTGCAAACTTATTTTGAATAAATAAGTAAATAAATATGTTTTAAAACTTTGGAATGACTTGAATGATTAATTTATAATAAATATTATTTTAATCATAGATATTATAGGACTACATAAACTATTCAATTAGGTCAACCATTCTTGCATTAATGTATTTATGTACCATCATCAGAGAAAATTCAGAAAGCATGTGGTAAAGAAAAAAATCAGGATTTAGACAACGAACAAGATTTGAGTTTTATCTTCAATTTTATATTATGCCAATTTTACACATCGCGGAGAAATAAAAAGCATCCTCTCATGTCTGGGATTGATTTGACATACTATTACAAGCCGGTCTGATACAGCCAGGTGATTTTGATCTCCTATTGGACATAAACTCAAAAAATAGCAATTTCAGACAATATTACTCTGAGACCATAAGAAATAAACAAAGCCACTGGACAATTTTTTTCTAAGCACAGATATAAACAAAGTCACTGTGCCACCCAAAAAATACCTACTCATAGAATTGCCCCCACTTTTTGACAGCATCAGACCTCTAGAGAGAACCCTTGCTTCCTTAGAGTCTTCCCAAGATCATCCAAATAAAGTCCACATCCTCTAGTAGATTCCTTCTAACACTCTCTTATTAAGACATCCCATAGTTCCTTGTAGTATGCATTTCTCTCTCCCTCTCTCTCTCTCTCTCTGCAACAAGTAATAAACGCAATATGCCTAATTGCAGATGTGTTCCCGGTGGTCTTTGGCAGTAGAACATTGGCATCATCAAGAGGAAAGGAACCTGCCACACCTGTGAATTTTCCAGGTAAGTAGGACTTATTATTTAGTCTCAGGGATTTTATGTATTTCAAGCATTCTTTTTTTTTTTTTTTTTCCTTTTTCTTTTGAGACACAGTCTTGCTCTGTCACCCAGGCTGGAGTGCGATGGCGTGATCTCGGCTCACTGCAACCTCCGCCTCCCCAGTTCAAGCAATTCTCCTGTCTCAGCCTGCCAAGTAGCTGGGATTACAGGCACCTGCCACCACACCCAGGTAATTTTTATATTTTTAGTACAGACAGGGTTTCACCATTTTGGTCAGTCTGGTCTTGAACTCCTGACCTCAGGTGATGCACCCTCCTCAGCCTCCCAAAGTGCTGGGATTACAGTCGTGAGCCACCACACCTGGCCCATCGAGCATTCTTCAGCAAGAAACATTTTTCCAAATAAAAAATAAATTTATCAAACTTAAATGAATTAATGTAATGATGATGACTATGTGATTTAATACAATCATCAGGTATATCATCAGTGCAAAAGACCAAGAGTGAGCAATGTTGCTTACTCTTGGAGTTCTGTGCCTTTACCCTAAGTCAGTCCTGCTCACGGTGTGGTTGGCAGATAACTGCCATTTGCGAACTGTTAATGAGAGCACAAAAAATGAAAAATATGTATTTAGAAACTTTCATAACAATTTGAAAAATAATTATATATATATATTCAGTCTTAAAAATTAAAACTTGTGTTTTTTTGTCTTTTCTATTCTAGTTTTCGGTAATTTGTTATTATTATTATTATATTTTACAAAATTATCCATCTGTGATGGCTTGGAAATTTAAAAATAAATTAGGAGAGATCTTTTACCACAGACAGTTTGAAAAGCACTGAGCACCGCCCTAAGTGACTCCCAGAGAACTTTTTTCCCCTCCCTTTCTTCCTTCTTTCTCACCTTGTCTCCCTCTCTTTGTTCTCTCCCTCCTTACTTCCCTTTCTTCCTGCCTTTTTTGGCTTTTATAACCACTTCCCACAGTTCTTTCATCTCCCTCCCTTGCTGTCCAGCTTTGGGCTGTCATTTGTAGCTGGAACAATGCCTACTTTGAGAAGCCCACCTACAAAAGTGTTGTTAATCTACCTTTGGCTGAAAATTCAGTTAACAACACCAGCCTAGATTTTATGCAAATTTAAGTACATAAATTCTGAGTGTCTGACTAGGCTTTCTTTTATCACAGAAATGAGCTTTGAAGCATGGGCTCTATTTTGGCTGTTCAGGGCAGCTTTCTGGGTTTCATGTAGTTTTCAGTCATTTGGGGGATGGTTGACATTGCCATGAAAGGATCTCCCAATACGAAGTGTTACCTGGATAATTTGACATGAATCATAGGATAATGCTCCTAATTTTAAGGAATTTATGTCTCAGTCTAATAATTCCTAGTAACCATTTACAATTACAGGACAACACAAAATGTCCCAAAATTAGGTAATGACTTTGGCTTACCAAAAAGTGTTAGAGAATGAGATTGCTAATCATACTAGAATGTAAACTCTGTGTTTGCTAGTTTTCAGAGAACTATTTGTACTTCAGAACAGATGAAACTATTTAATAAAAGGTCTACTTCATTGTAGCAGGGTTTAAATCTACATTCTCCAAATAACTATTATTACTACCAGGTGACAACTCTGCTTAGAAAATTCAGCTTTGCTAGTGAGCAAAGGACAGAGTGGAAAGCTCAATCCAGCGTTCTGGCTCTGCTATCCAAAGAGCTAATTAAGTGTACCATTTGTCAAAGTCAATGGAAACCCTGTGTCTGGATCACTTAAAAAGACATTAAAAAGAGAAATGGGGTCCAACAGCAGAGGAAAGGAAATTTCGTATTCTTAAGTGGAACCCATGCTCATATGGTGTGTATCCTAATGTAGCGTAATATCCTATAGAACTTTCAGTGAAATTTTGGTAGCACTTTGACAACAAATTAAGTAATTATGACTTTATTCCAATGCATATAAGAATACTAAAAATCATATTTTACAGTGGCCAAAATATGTGCTATAGACCTTTTAGCATTATCAAATGATAAGGGCAGTAGGAATAAATTCACAAATCCTCTGCTATAATATACTAAAACAATCATAAGGAAAGGAGAAGAGATTGATGCAAAAGTATCTTTTATATTTCCATTTCTATCACTTTTATATATTTTTTCCTCTTTCCTTTCCCAGGTGAGAGAGATGGGTATTGAATGAGTAAATACTCAACTGAACTGGAAAGGCTGGCTGTACTGGATAAATTGGGCTGAAACTGGGGAACTTTAAGATATGCAGTCCAGCACTGACTGACTGCTGATTAGCCAAATCAGTAATTTTAGCAGCACTGTGGCTATGCTATCCTATATTTATATCTTTATATTATGAGATAAGAGGAGGAGAGAAAGAAGGGCAATAAACCTGATAGGCCAAACTCTGTTATAATCCCCTTACGGGATCACATGGATAGAGCTGAAATAGAATTTAGAAGAGGTTGAATCTCAGCTTTGTTCTACAAAGTGGAAAAAAGCACAGAGAGATTTAGTGACTTGTCCAACTCTAAGCTGATATGTTCCTTTCCTGTATTGACATTTTTGCCCCTTCTAATTCAGGCTGAGCTGTACAGTAGTAAGCTTCCATTTGCTTGCTATGTGTGTGCACCAAGAGAGACAAAATGGATTCATTCTTAAAGAGCATCAGAATCAACATTGACAGTTGCCTACCTCATAACCGGACCATTCACGTTGCTAAGATTTCATGGAATCTTATTTGTTTAAAGGAAAAATATTCCATTCACAACAGTAAGTCAACGTACTTACATCCTTAGATGAAAATACTATAGTTCACTGTCTAGGGTAAAGTGAGGTCCTAAATACATATTTTCAATAATTATTTTTCATGTTTGCATGGCATTTAATACTTTTATAAAGCACATGCTTTTTTTTGCAATCTTTATAACAATGCTGTAAAAGAGTTTGGACAGATTGATGATGATGATGATGATGACTATGACAATAATGATGACTTTTTAAAGATATGCAAATGGGAGTTTGGTGAGATCGGTGGGCCTCTCCTAGATCACAGAACCAGTTCATAAGCAGGTCTGTTTTCTTCATGATCAGTGCTCCTTCTGTTGCTCGATATCTTTCATTATCTATTTACTGTTAAAACATTTTTTTATACTTAAAAACAGATCCCTTTCTCACGAGGCAATTTGTGCTCATTAGTAATTATAACCAGAAGGCTCAATTTACTTGGTAAATGTCACTTGTTACATAAATGGTGAACTAGTAATGTGCCAAAGAGAAAACATTTAGGCCCAGAAAGTATTTTCTCTTATAAATAGATGTGTTTGAATGTTTTTTCTTATATATTTAATTTATAGCCAATTTTAGAAAGGGCTCACAGGAAGCATGGGAAAATTATAAGGTAACACACAACATCATCTAAAAAGAGAATCTTTCTCACATTTCCTTAGGTGTTTCAACTTGTGTCATGTTAAATGTATTTTTCCTTTTTTAGAAGTTATAAGAAAAACAAATTTTCTATTTATAAGCTATAAAATAATAAACATGTTTAACAAAAAATAAAAGAAGGTTTTGAAATGTTTACTGGTCTTTTTTGGAAAATATGTGAGGAAAGAAAGGCATTCTTAGCCCCAGAGATTAAAATGTGTCTTTTGAAGTGTATTAATCAATAAGGTATATGCGCAATTATATGGCTCACTGTACTTGCGTTTACATAGTACTGTTTATTAAATACCAACAAATTATTTAATTAGGGCTTTTTTTAAAGATTACTAATATCTGAGTTAGAAATTAAGAGATTTATCATAATCTAAAGATTATTATCATTTGCCCATTTAAAGTATTTTTTAAAGTTTTCAGTTGACTATAATAGCATATTAAATGTTATTTATTTTTTATTTTATTTTTATTTATTTTTTGAGATGGAGTTTCACTCTTGTTGCCCAGGCCGGGGTACAATGGCACAATCTCGGGTCACCACAACCTCCACCTCCGGGTTCAAGTGATTCTCCTGCCTCAGCCTCCTGAGTAGCTGGGATTACAGGCATGCACCACCACACCTGGCTAATTTTGTAGTTTTAGTAGAGACGGGGTTTCTGCATGTTGGTCAGGCTGGTCTCAAGCTCCCGACCTAAGGTGATCCGCCCGCCTTGGCCTCCCAAAATGCTGGGATTACAGACGTGAGCCACCACGCCTGGCCATTGAATGTTATTTCATATGAATTATGAAAGCATAAAAATTCTATGCCTGCTTTCATAAATAACTTGCTCTGTACACACTTTCCCTTTAATAAAAATATAATATCTTAAAATGTTAACTTACAAGTCAGTCTAAATTATGTTGTAATTTTTAGTTAAGTAGGTGAGATGGAACTTATGAAGAAGAAGGTGTTATGACATTACGCCATTTAAAGTAGTAGTGTTATATACTGATACCTCACTACTCATCCTATTAACTACTCTCCAGGAACTGTGCATATGGTTGCGTGAAATTTGTGTCTTTGCTGTTCACCCCTCCTCCACAGCTAAATGCATCATTCCTCAATGCCTACTGTATTGACAAGCACCATTACTTAATCATAGTAATCATATCTGATGCATCATACAACAGGATATACTCACCATACTAGATTACCCACCATATCAGAATCTGTGTTCTCATGTCTTTTCTTATTTTCCACAGGGCTAAAAATTGATTCAGAATGGAGTTCTCTTTTACCTATAATTTCCGAGGCTTTCAGGATGAATTGCACATTTGAAAAGATGTTTGGATACTTGTGATATGATGCTCCAGAGAAAGAAAGTGCTATTGTAAGAAAAATCATCTGTGAGAAATATTTTATTAATATTTTGCATTGTGTTTCATTTGTCTTTTAGCTATTAAACTATAATTAAATTCAGTACTTAGATGCAGAAACTGCTGTAGTTTCCTATTTAAGATTTATAGTGTTATGTATGCCCCCTGGTGGTGTAATAGAATACCAGACGGTAAATAATTTATACGTAAGAGTTTATGTATTTCAGAACAGCAATTTCATAATCATTGAATGCCCAATTAAATATAGTTACTGTTCAACAATGTTTGGAAACTTCCAGATGAAAATCAATCAAGTTATAATAGATGCTGCATTCATAATGGATACTTTGACATTGTAATTCTACAAAGGAATCAATGTCATTGATTCTAGACCTACATTCTCCAGTTTTATTCCTTCTTGAGATGTTATTATTTACAACAATATGTTGTAAATAATACAAACAAGATGTTATTATTTACAACAATAAGGTAATTTAACACAACACCACGTTATATTTAACAGAATTATCTCAGTGCTGCTCTTTCTATAAACTTTTAGACAAACTTTGGGTTTTGGTGCATCCACATAATGGAAAAATTAATAATGACCATTCTACTGGACAGCTATGTGGAGAGATGGCAGCTGCTGATAGCTTCAGGTAGAAAACAGCCTACTGTTAAAGGAAGAGCTGTAACCTAAGGCTCTATTATATTTGGTAAGAGGACAAAATTGGGGGATTTTATTATTATATATGAAAGACAGATTTTTTTGAGGGGGGTATATCCTCAATAACAAGCTAATATGAGAACTTGAGGGTTTTACTCAAATAATTTTTCAACGTTGATTTGCCATAATCATCTGAATATTTGATAAGTCACTATGCTGAACACAGTGAGGAGTTAAGAAGGGGTCATATAATTTAATGAAGATATAAAAACAAGTGAAATATTAGAGAAGAATTCCTATTCTATCTGTCTACAGCCACATCTGATCAGGACTTATGCTAATAGTATTAATTGATCAGTCTCCATAACACTTCTGCTATTACCTTCTGTTCCCTCCTCCATGACTTTTTCATCAAATATTATTCCCTTTCTTTATCTTGAGTCTCTCCTTCCCTTCTCCTACAACACACTAATCTTTTGACTTTGTTTTATCCATCTAAACTATTGACATATTTACATATCAGCATAAATATTTATGGCTAAGCTTTTTTTGAAATAGTTAACAATTTTTGCCTTATGCTTAAAATTTCCCTCACTGTTTACCTCCAATCTGAATTCTGCTTCCACCTCTCTACTGGGTATGCTCCCAAGATCAGCAGTGATTTTCTGATTGTAGAAACTCATTATTTTTCAGACCTTCTACTATTTAATACTTCTATGGCAATATTGATCTTGAATTTCTCTCCTTAAACATAATCACTCCCTCTTACCTCCCTTATTTCTCTTTTCCTGGACCCTGTTACACCAATAATCCATTAAATGTATGTTCCCCAAGATTTCATTCGTTTCTCCCTGCCCGTTGCCCACAGCCACATTAACATGGATGACTGTCAATTCTATATCCCAGGCAGGCTTCACTTACTTCCCTAGTTCCAAACCTATGTTTTCAACTGCTTGCTAGGTATATATACCTGAGTGACCTTCAAATTCAATATGTCCAATATTTCTCCAAATTTTTCCTAGTTCAGAACATCATCTCAATTCTATTACTCAATATGCAAAACTTCAGCTCCTGCTTGAATTTCTCACTCTTATTTACATATAGCTTAGATTCAGTGGATCACCAGGTCCAGAACCTTACTAAAATATGAATCTAACTTTCCTGAAATTCAGGGAGGTAGATACTATTACAAATAGGAAAACTGAGTCACAAAAAAGCTCATACACTTAAGTGGCAAAGTAAAAAGCAGAATACAGAATGAGGATTACCAGCATCTGGAGCAGGGAGTAGGTGGCAGGAATGGATGGGGAAAGGGGAGATATTAGGGTGCAAAGCTTCAGTTAGATAGAAGGAATAAGGTCTAGTGATCTATTTCACGACATGATAACTATAGTTATTAATAATGTACTGCACTTTTCAAAATTGCTGGAAGAAAAGTAGAGTCAGGTTCTAAATGTTCTCACCACAAAGAAATAACAAAAGTATGGGGGTTGGAGGGGCAGTGAGCTGAACAAATGCAATCTGGCCCTGAAGCTGTGCTCTCCAACACTGCACATATTATCTTATGAAAAATAAAATGCAGCTTACATTCTTTATAGTGACAGTCTGAGCTTCTCAAAATATAACATAAAACATTTATAAGTATAAAAAATAAAAGATATTCTACCGTATAAATGTGGTTGAAGCCTAAGTAAATGTTGCTTAAAACTTTCTAGATGACCATGCAGGAAAAATATAAAAAGTCGTAAGAAGACCAAATAGCCAATCTGTCAAAAGAGAAAAGAAAAATGCAGTTTTATGTTACATCAATAAATGTTTAAAAACCATAGGAAAAATCAACCATTATTTTATTACATTTTCTTTTGAGAAAACAATTTTAAACTCGTTCAACATTATGTGGTTTTGAAATAACATTAAAACATTTATATCAAGATTGAAATGCTAGCTCAGCCAAAAAACTTTTATAAATCATCTCTATACTACATATAATGACCAACACTAAATGCTATTTTGTTCTATGTCCTTTAGAACAGTGTTTTTCAAATTACAAGTCATACCCTTTAAGTGAGTCATGAAATCAATTGACAGGAGATTTTTAAATAAAATAAAAGGGAAGAAAAAACAAAACATAGTTTATTGTACAATTCCTTGTTTCAGTATATAAATGAATATATATTATGTTATCTAGATTGCAATGCAAAGGGTATTTATTTCTATGCATATCAGTCAACAGTTTGAGGACCATCGCATTACATAGTGTTGAGAACTATCCTACTTCTGCATAATATGCTGAGCTAAGCTCCTTTTTCCCTCATGAAAAAAGACCTCTCACGGGGTCATTATTAAATAAGCAGTGCAAAACCTTACTTCTGTAAGATTAGTAAACATATAGTTTGTTTTACACAGACTACATAAAATGGAGTGTCTGCAAAAATAATTTGCAACATTTTACAGAAAATTATAAAAAACACATTAACTATAGAAATAAATGGAATACAGTTTCTAAATTATGGAGAAGACCCAAATAACAGCAATAGCTGTCATTATCCTGTGTGTGTGTGTGTGTGTGTGTGTGTGTGTATGTATGTATGTATGTATGTATGTATGTATCTCCAAATCCTCTTAACAGCAACGCAGGGTATCATGTAACAATATACATGTAAAAAGAAAATAAAATTAAAAAGATAAATCTAACGAAATCTCAGTGCATCATCCAAGACTGTAAAGTAAATAAGTAACATTACTGGAATTTGAACCCAGGTATGTATGTACTGCTCCAAAAGCCATGAGCTTTCTACTATGACAGTGATTTCCACATTTTTTATTACAAACCTCTATCACTACTAATAAATTTTGAGAATGCATCATTAATATTTATAAATGTATTCATAAAGTATAAACATATACATTTGTAGACTTATGAAGTATATAAAAATAACATGTTTATAAGGCATGCCCAAGGGGTCTCTTCATACAAACAACTTTGTTATAGTACTGTGTTTCTCTAAGATGCTGAAGTTAAACGTGAAAAAAATATTTAAAAGAATAATGAAATACTCTAGATGACAGAATTAAAGGAAACTATTCTCATAGATATAGACAATGAATGAATAACTGATCAGAAGGGGGACAAGTTAATATTTTTCAAGGACTATAGATAAATACTGAAAGGAATATAATATTCAAAAATGTAACAGCGGACAAAATAGAAAATACATGACAAGCATGTCAGTATGAATAACATCTGTGTTTATACCTCAATTTGGTCATGGATTTCACCTGACCCAGAGACTATCTTTAGTTATAGCTATACTTGAAAATGATTTTAAAAGCTTTCATCTTAATATTCTTGAAGGTCAAATTTTTGACAAATCTACCTTTCCATATTGTATATTGGACTTTCTATGCATTGTTCTTCACGTATTATTTGTGTACATATTCTCTTTTTTGTCTGACAACTCAAGTTTTGCCTCCTACATTGAATTTTAGCTTGTCAGTTTCTCTTTCTGAGCTCTCCCACATTTCCTTCATTTGACCTTTACCTCCTCCTTCTCTCTTTCTATGTTCATCTCTTCTTCTCTTTTTTCTGACGCTTTTAGCTGGCTGTAAAATTGAAGGCTGGATAATATTTATCATGTGTTATATTTTAATAGTTGTATGTTTTTGGTTCTTGCATAGAATCTTGATGATCACTGCATATATTTCTATGTAATACATATAAAACTGTTGTTGCTTTTATGTTATTCTCTATACTTCTGTAAACAGAACTCAATCATTAAGAATATTATACACTTAAAGTTAGATAGAAAGGAAAGAATGTAAACAAAATATAAAAGAAATAATATTCGTGGATCATATATTTCTAGATCTATTCAACCCTGAGCTACTTCTCCAAAGGAGAAACAAAACAATGCATATAGAGTGGGTGATGCCTCTATGATAATATCCTTTAACAAAGGATTCCATCAAAAAGAAAAGAACAAAAGGGAGATTTCCAATAGTCTTTCAGATATGTAATGAAAACCCTACAAAGGCAAGGAGGACAAGTAAAATGTTTTCTTGCCTGCGTTCAAAGTACTTATAGAGTATGCTTATTTCCAATAGATAGTTATATGAACTAGAATAATAAAAAGCAAGCTTTAAAAATATTAAATCTTGGGATTCTAGTTGAAGATAGCTGACTAGAGACACTGCATACTCACTCTCTCCAGAAAGAAGAGCCAAAATTATGAATCAATTATCACGCCTCAGATGAAACAACTAGGAGAGAATACTGGAGTACAATAGAGAAGTTACAGGAAATACTTGAGACACAGAAGGTGATATGGTTTGGCTCTGTGTTCCCACCCAAATCTCATCCCGAACTATAATCTCACGTGTCAGGGGAGGGGCCCAGTGAGAGGTGATTGGACCATCGGGGCGGACTTCTCCCTTGCAGTTCTTGTGACGGTGAGATCTGGTTGTATAAAAGTGTGTGGTGCTTCCCCTTTCACACTCTCTCTCCTTCTCTAACATGTGAAAATGTGCTTGCTTCTCCTTCACTTTCTGCCATGATTATAAGCTCCCTGAGGCCTCCCAGTCATGCTTCCTGTTAAGCCTGTGGAACTATGAGAATATTAAACCTCTTTTCTTCATAAATTACCCAGTCCCAAGTACTTCTTTATAGCAGCGTGAGAATCAACTAATACAGAAGGGAAGCAAAATCGGCTGGGAACACATAGGGGCTTGCTATTGGGGGAAAGGGTGTAAGAACTTCAGTGGTCTATATCCCTACCATGGACTGCAACAACCTGAACCATGGCAGAGCTCCTTGACACACATACTTCCTGACACTAACATGGACAGTGAGCTAGAGACCCTCAAAGGACATTGTACCACACAGAGAACTTTTGCTGGTTCACTCACACCCCTGAGACCTAAGCAACTACAGCAGGGTACCATTGTGAGAGTACAGCCATCATGGGGTTACATCCTCCCTTTAGAAACATAGCCTTCATATCTCCATATCCCAGGAACCCCCACTGACATTCCCTAGTGCCTACCCGGTGGGCTACAGTGGCATAGCATTGCTGGAAACAAAGGTGCTACGGGGCCCCAGTACTGTGGCCCACAAGTAGTATTACTTCCCAGAAAAGAGATGGTGCGGTGCATTAACATTGCAGTCTCTGGGACAAAGGAAACCAAGGCACATACTTTCCAGAGCCTGAAAGCTTCCTGTATGGGGCTATGAGAACAAACCCTGCCTCACCAGTAGCACAAACTCTGTGTTCACGCTTGCAAGCAGAGTGAGATCCATTCACACCCCCCACCTAACACTGCAGCAGCAGTTGCTGCCACTGGGAATCCAAATGAGAGCCAGCTATCTGGGGCTGAGGGCAGTGACCCCACTTCCACTGGTGGAGTGGCCTCTGTGTTCAGGTTCATGCACAGGGATTCTCTCTCCCACTCTGCATACCTCTGCAGGCTCAGCCACTGCTGCTGCCGCTGGAGGCTAGGGCAGGTGAACCGGAGGGCTCCTTGAGTGGGCCTGGATAGTGACCACACTCCTACTGGTTGAATGACTTCCATGATCAAGCTCATGTGTAAAGGGCAGGGCTGCTTACCTTTATGTGCACCACTGCAGTGCTCCTACAACTGAGAACAGGCAAGCCTGAGAGCTGCATGACTAGGGCTGCAGGTGGAGACTGCACTGTAGCTATCTCCAACATCAGCATGCACTGCTCAGGACCTAGAAGGTCGTCCCACAACTGCTACTGCCACTACCTACACCACACCACCACCCAGGGAATCAAGAACTCACTCACCTGCCTGATCCACCAGTGTCACTACCATGATCTAAGCAAACTACCTAGAAGCCCAAGAATTGGCCTGCCTGGTCCTGCTAATACCAGAGCAAGTATCTTGTACACAGGGGCACAAGAACAGGCATACTCATCCCACTGCTGCCACCACTGGGGACCAAAGACTAACCCATCTGGAATCCCTGTCCCCGAGCAAAACTTCACCATAGCCTCTACTCTTAACCACACTCTAAACCACTGGGAAATCATAGATACCACTGACACTGTTGACAGCCAAATAAATCATATAGAGACTGCACCACTGCATGCACTCAGAATCAAATACAAAGGGTCCTACTAACCAACACTATAACACATCTTCAGGAAAAAATCCTCTACTGTGAAAGCAAATTCAAAAAATTGGAATAAGTGAATATTACACAAGATACACAGTTATCAATGTAAGGAAACATGAAAAAACAGGGAAATATGACACTTCCAAAGGAACACAATAATTCCCCAGCAACATATCCCAATCAAAAAGAAATGTGTGAAATCACAGGGAAAAAAATCAAAATTATGACACTAAAGAAACACAGTGAGATACAAGAGAATTTCAAAAAATAATACAAAAAGTCAGAAGAAAACAGTTCAAGATTTGAAAGAGAAATTTATGAGAGATACATATCATACAAAAGAACCAAACAAAATCTGGAATTGAAGAACTTCTTTAATTAAATAAAAAGTACAATCAAGAGTTTAAACAATAAACTAAAACAACAGCAACACAAAAATATCTCAGAACTTGAAGATATAACTTTTGATATAACTCAGAGAAAAATAAAGAAAAAATAATGAAAAAGAAAAAACAAAGCCTCTGTGATATATGTGACACAATACAGTGACCAAATACATGAATTATTGGTATTCCTAAAGGTAAAAAGTGAATGAAAGGCTCCAAAAACTTATTTAACAAAATTTAACTT